TTAAGCCCTGAGTTCAATCCCTACTACTGCAAAACAACAAACAAAATCAAAATATTAACTCAAACCAAAGGAATTAGCAATTCAATAACCTACTTGACTTTCAAGAATGGCCTGCCATGTACAATATTATTTCCAGCTGAAAGTTTAGGTCAAATTTTATTCTAAATGGGGGAAAAAAAATTCTGGGGGGGGGGAGGGGAAATAAATGGAGTTGCTCATTTCTAATCAAAATCAAGTCATGCAAAAGATAGTGATTTCCATACCACTTATTAGCATCAAAGCCCTGGACAAATCTGTTTCTGAGTCTTGGTGTCATAATTTATAAAATGTTAGAAATCCTTCCTGCAGAGTACTTAGCATACAGCAGGCATTCAATGATAGCAACTTTATTGATCTGATAATCTCCACCACCCAGTTAAACACAGGAAAATATAACTAATATAATAACGTGAGGTCTTGAATACTATTATTACCTATGGGGGATAGACAAGCCTCCATCCACAGCTCCCTTCAGGGCCCCAAAAACTTTATTGCCAGTTGTAGTTCTAGCAAGGCCTGCATCCAAATAGCAGGTGAAGGCGCCAGGTTGACCATCAATGCTTTCCACATTGTATTCATCTCCAGTCACCTCCACTTGGCCTTCATAAATCTTGTCCATACCAAACCTATTGAGAAGCTATTAACAAAGAAGTTATTGTAAAAATCTATGACTGTTTATTTAATAGAGTCAAATCATTCTAAAAATATTTCATATCCCAACTACATAATACTTAATTTGATCCTTACATGAGGAACTGACCCCCGACTTCTTCAGTCATGCCTGGCTATAAGAAGTCAACATTAGGGGCTGGGGTTGTGGCTCAATGGCAGAGCATTTGCCTAGCATGTGTGAGGCACTGGGTTCGATCCTCAGCACCACATATAAATAAATAAAAATAAAGGTACATTAACAACTAAAAAATATTTTTTTAAAAAAGTCAACATCAAAAGTTATCACATGTCATTTTAACTTAATTAAAATAAAATTTTTAGGGGTAGGATACTGGGCTAAAGGGAACATGTTTTGTGGCTCTACCGTCCAACTACATTATTTTAATTTGGGCCACTCTTCTGCTGGTGGTCACCTAGCTACGTTTTCACCATAAACAGTGGCTTTTGCACCAAGTTGCTCTCATATATAATGACCATGTGACACCTACTAAACATGTATATAACCAGTGAAGATGTGGGGTCTCAACTACACTGCAAAACAAAGTCAGTAACTGAAATAATAAAAAAAGCAAAATAACATTTGTACTGCCTACTACTACTAATATATAGTGAATGCTAAAGACACCATCTCTCAAATTTTAATGTACACCCATCAAATGATCCTGTCAAAATAAAGATTCTGAGAGTCTAGAGAGGAAACMCCACAAGTCTGTATTTTTAATGTATGCTGATGGTCCAAAGATGTATACTTGAGTAATGAGGATCTTTGGTAGATAATTTAAGTAGCCATTAGCGGCAAGTAGCTTTTCAAATTCAAATTAAAAATTCAGTTCCTCTGGGTTGGGGATGTGGCTCAAGCAGTAGCGCGCTCGCCTGGCATGCGTGCGGCCTGGGTTTGTTCCTCAGCACCACATACAAAGAAAGATGTTGTGTCTGCCGAAAAACTAAAAAATAAATATTAAAAATTCTCTCTCAAAAAAAAATTCAGTTCCTTGGTAGCACTAGCCACATATCAAGTATTCAACAGCCACAGGCTAGTGACTACATCACAAGACAGTAAATTATAGATGTCCCATCATTACAGACAATTCTGAACAGAGCTCATCTAGCTATACCCACAATGAAGCTAAAAACAGAACAAATAACCACCTCGCGATTATCAGAAATGCAGTCATTTCAATCAAACTTTGTATTTATAAAATCATCTTCCCTGCTGATAACCTTGTAAACCACAGAACAGCCAGCACTGTCCTGAAGCCATAGCTCAGAATCTTTTACTCACGTGCAAACACTGAATACAATCAAAACAAACCAACCCCAAAGTACGTCTATTAAAGTCATCTTGTACATACCCTACGGGCCAGCAGCAGGCCTGTACAATATGCTGCAGCATAATTTGTTAGGCCAACTTTCACACCATATTTTGGTAGTTCATGTGCATATGCCGCGCAGACTATCATATCCCCTTCTATACGGGCATAAGCAATCTACAGTAAGAGAAAAATCAGGTTAGTATTTTGCTACTTTGACTTTTCATTATTGTCCTAAATGCCTTCTTTTTCAAAAGAAATTCAACATAGATCTGCACCTTTTAAAAAGTTTGTTAAGGGTCGCAGCTCAGTGGTAAAGTACTTGCCCCACACATGAGACCCTGAGTTTGTTCCTCAGCACCACATAAAAATAAATATAGTGTCTATCTACAACTAAAAAAAATATTTTTTAAAAAAGGTTTGTTACACCTACTCACCTCTACAATTTATGACTTGTTCAATTATGTAAGCGGTGAGCAGCTGTTATAGTATATGTGTACTAATGTCACAGTATGTTAAGACTGTAACTACCCAAATATTAGAATATTTTTGGAATAAATCAGACTATAGCTCCCTACTTTTATCGATTAAAAAGTCCTAGCTGGTGAATTAGAAGTACTTAAAAAAAAGTCAACGAGAATTCAGGTGCAGTGGTGCATGCCTGCAATCCCCAACAACTTGTAAGGCTGAGGCAGGAGGATCACCTGAGTCCAGGAGTTCAAGGCACACCTGGGCAACTTAATGACAGCCTGTTGTCTCAAAATAAATTTCTTATAAAGATCTAGGAATACATCTCAGTGATACAGCACTTGCCCAGTATGTACAAGGCCCTGTATTCTATCCCAAATATCCCCCCCACATATAAATGTTCCCTAGTTGTAAAAGTCCTGAACACTGGACTCCAGGAACTACATTTTAAAGATCTTTTTTAAGCAAGACACTTTGGTACATTTTATTAAAACCCATTTCAAACAATAAGCAGAAATAAAAACAATCTTGGGTTTCACTTAACTCTTACAATGAGTTAAACAGCATGTAAGGTCATATAATATGAGTCAGGATTTAGTCTGGAACTGGGATGGTAAGAAACTTCTACTTGTCTCATGTATTTCCCCACCCCATACAACAGGTTTCTCTAAGTCTTTTTCCCAAATTAGAAAATGGGAATAAAATTAAACTGGGTCATGTTTTCCAAAGACTCTTAAATTTGTGTGTGTATGTGTGTTTTAATATCAGTTTCCTACTATCTCACTCTATTACTATTAAAAGGAATCAAACTATTCAATGTTTCTGGAGGCACAAAATGGCCCTTTAACCCATGTGCTTTGCTTCCCAAGGACAATTTCTCTAGCTCAGTGAAAAAAGATTTATCACCCACAGTCTGATCCTAGGCTTCAACTTACCTGGCAAATGATATCTCTGTTAGTTACACGAACTATCATCCTGTATTTGGGTGTGTTGTACTTATTTTTGTCCTGGATCACCAAGCGTTTCCGAGCATAGTAATCAGTTTTGCCCTCTGAAAGAAAAACCATAATAACTTAAGAAGGAATATTCCATTACAAAGCAGATTCTTTTAATATTGAAAACATGAAAACTGTCCATACCTCGTCGTCTTCTAAATTTCACTTGGTATCTCTTAAAGTAAGCCTTATTCTTCACAACTTTAACAAACCCCTTAAAGAAAAACAAACAAAAGAGAATGTTTTTAAAATTTAAATGTTTTAGACTATGACACTTTGAACACGAATTAATCATGTACTTTCAAAAGCAAATCCATACAACTGTCAACTTTCATAGCATCTCACACTTTTCAAACCAATTGAAGTAACACTTTTTCTTCTGCTTTCCATCTGTCACAAACTGATAAAATGCAAGCTTCAAAGATTTAACAGGTACAAGATCTTGTAACATTATTTTTAAAACGCCTATCACAATTTCTGTACTTGTTCCCTCACATCCTAATACCATCCAATCATTGCACCTCACTTTTGGGAAACACTGCTCCACAACAATCAGCAGTGCCTGAATACTGTGCATCTCACTTCGAAAACCTAATCTCCAAATAACTACAACTCTCTCACTTCATCTGTGCCTTCTTGAAAAGCCTAAACTAGCTGCCACAATACTTAACCCGGTAAGAGCACAGGTTTCCCCTTAGAACAACACTCCACCCCACCTTTAGGGCCCTGTCCCTGAAAACTAGGACTAGCAAGGAAATGAGTGTTCCAAACTAAATGAGTTCCCTTCCGGGATCCAAGGGCCACCACGGCCTCCAAGCTCCACTGACAGTTCTGGCTCAAAAGTTACTTCCCCGGTCCAGGAGCAGAAGCTTTCTAAGACCAAATACGACGCTTTCCAGAAAAACCCAAGACTCAGCTGATGGCCAAGATAGGGTGCAACGACTCGCAGCCCGCCTCCGCTCCGGCATCGCCCAGCTAGCCTGGAGCCCAGTGCATGCCAATTCCCCCACTGCAGGCTGCTGGTGCCCCCTGAGACCAGCCGGCACTCTCCCAGAAGTCTACCAAATTTACCCCACTCCCAATCCGGGGCTCCAACCCGGTAACCCCTCTTCACCAACCCCTCCCCCCAGTACGCGCTTTGGGTGGCAGCCATTAAGGCCACGCTGGGAGACGCAGTCTGAGCACTGCAGAGCCGAGAATCTAATGCCATCCGTCCCCTACGCCGCGCAAGACGCGCCCTAGGCTGGCGTTGGAGAGAGAAAATGGAGCCCCCATTCATCCGGAGCCCTGAGATCGAGGTACCCACTCACCATCCTGCGAAACAGAGACCCAGGTCCGCGGATCCACACAGACCTGCAGGCCCAACAGCGCTACAGGGGAGAAAAGGCCGAAGCTCCTGCGCAAGCGCAGTATGTAGCGCTGATGATTACGCGTGAGACGTGTGGAAGAGAGAGGGCTTCCAGCTACAAGGTGTGTGGTCTGCCGCCCCCTGCTGGCTGGAGGATCTGTGCTGGACATTCCCTTGTCAAGTCCCTGAGTGCCGCTGGCTCCCAACTCTTAAGGGCTTAGGGGTGGAGAATGCTTAGGGGTGGAGGTGAGTATGAACTTGGGAGGATTACATGAGGCTTTCGCCTTTTTTTTTTTCCTAGAGCATTTTATCAAAACAAATACATTACATTTCTAAGAAGGAAAAAAATTAAGTTAAATAAAATGAATTTTCCCTGAAGCCCTCTTATCCTCTCTAGGACTCTACCTGGTGATTCAGAGCCTACAAGATCCTCCCAGGAAGCCTTCCCTGGAAGCCTCAAACCTGGGATAGGGGACATTTCTCTGCCTTCTTAGCACCATCGTACATGCTTCAGCCCACCGCAAACTATAAACCCCGAAGGTGGGCCCTGCTGTCAGGAGCATCTTTAAATCTCCAGCGTAAGTGCTCTGTTGTTTATTTGTTCCTGGTAAAACAATTTCTTAGGGCTCTTTTTTTTTTTTTTTCCTATATCCCTATACCTACATTGTTTTCCATGATTCCTGAAACCCCCATTCCTTTTCTTTCTATCACTCTAAGCTAGTCTTTTAAAACTAATTGTATCCGGGTGCAGTGGCAAACGTCTGTAATCCCAGCGGCTCAGGAGGCTGAGGCAGAAGGATCGTGAGTTCAAAACCAGCCTTAGCAAAAAAACGAGGCTCTAAGCAATTCAGTGAGAATAAAATACAAAATAGGGCTGGGGATGTGGCTCAGTAATTGAATGCCCCTGAGTTCAATCCCCGGTACCAAAAAACAAAATAACAACTAATTGTGACTGTGGCAATGGGCCATTTTCTTTTCTTGTTTTCAATACCAAGATTGAGAAAAACCAATTATCAAGGACAAGTATTTCTCACTAACAGTATTTCAGAGTGGTCTTTGGGATTTTTGCATGGGAATCATTTAAGTACTAGTTAAAATGCAGATATTTAAATATCTTCCACCTCTACTGAATCAGACAATGGAGGTTTGGGGCTGGGAATCTGAATTTTTTAATTTGGCTTCAATCAAGCCCAGTAGTCTCAGCAAAGCAGAAAACAAATCCTATTTTACCCAATAATGAAGCTTACTGGTTCCACCAGAAAAAGACTTATTATGATTTTTAACTATTCCCTCATCTTCCAATGATAGTAGCCTGCCCTTAGCAGATGGGTGTACACAGGGTTAATTAAACAGCACAGAATCAGGACATCAGCTGTTCATTGTCAGAGCTAAAAGAAGGGGCTTCCAAACTAGAATGAAAAGGGTAAGTGGGTCCATAAAACTGCCACTGGGGTAAACCAGAAGTATGATGCCAGTTACCTCTGGTTTCAACTTTTAATTCCTATGTAATAGGAAAAATGAACATGGAGTTCACTCTGGCCAATTTCAACAGAACTCTAGAAAAGAAATGTTAAAATATTCCCCACACTCGAATGTGACTGAATCTTTGCTGAACAGCTTTTGTAAGTATAAAAAGAGACTTGCACAATCTGTATGCATAGAAATCGAGTGGTTCATCAAGTTATTAGCCTACCTACCAGGTCAGGCCCTGCTCACCACATTGGAGGTCTAAGCATCAAGAAAGAAAGTCTACCTGGAAGTAGTAGGCCCACCCACCCTTAAGTTTTTCATGTTTTAGTCAAGAATACATATGAAGACCCATATACCATTCATCTGAATATTTAGAAAACTACCACATCATTGAGTTAAATGTTTATCTTCCTTCTTTTTATGTTATAAATCTATAGCAACAAAATTAAAAATATGTGTACTCATTTCCTTTAGTCATAACTGAGGGTTTGGGGTTGCATGGCTAGCTCAGTCAATGCTGTTAGTGATACCAGGGGACAGGCATTCTTGTCCAGTACCTGTGGTCAGTATCACCTTACTTAAATGATTAGAGTTGGGGCTGGGGGTGCTGGGGTTGTGGCTCAGCAGTAGAGCACTCACCTAGCATGCACAAGGTGCTGAGTTCAGCACCACATAAAAATAAAGATAGCTGTGTGTTCATCTGCAACTAAAATATGTGTGTATACATATATATATATATATATATGTATATGTATGTATATATATATATATAATAACATAAATAAATAAATGGTTAAAGTTAAAAATCAACAGTTCCTGGGTGTGGTGGCACATACCCATTATTCCAGAATTCCAGAGGCTGAAGCAAGATCAGAGAGAGAGAAAGAGAGAGAGAGAGGAAGAGAGATATTAATAAGGCAAATTTGTTAAAATGTCAACAGGGAATTTGCAAGAAGGATACATGAAAATTCTTTGTACAAATGCTACAATCAATCTGTAGTTTTGAAATTATTTCAAAATAAAAAAATTAAACATTGATTCCTGCTAGAATTGGAAACATGGCTTTGAAACAATATTTGAAATGAAGGCAAACTCAATTTAATTAAATATGTCTGGTACATATTACAAGTAGAAAACAAATCAGCAGGGCTGGGGTCGTGGCTCAGTGGTAGAGCACTTGCATAACACGTGTGAGGCACTGGGTTCGATCCTCAGCACCATATACAAATAAATAAAATAAAGGTATAAAAATATCAGCAGAGGGCTGGAAATACAGGTCAGTTGGCAGAGTGTGTGCCTCAAGTGCATATAGGCACTGGGTTCAATCCCCAGCACCACACACACACATACACACACACAAATCAGCAGAGCTGTGCATATAGCTCAGTGATAGAGAATTTAACTAACATCCACAGGGCCCTGGGCTCAATTCCTAGCCTAAAAAAAAATTATCTTATTTACAAATTAATATTTTTAATTGTAATTGGTTTTTGCTTTACATAGCGTTTATAGTTATATACTGAAAGATGGTAAGTGAACTACTTTATAATCAGATCTTTATAGCTATTAATTCATTGAAACCTTTTTCTTTTCTTTTTTTTTTTTTTTTTTTTGTTGTAAAGTTGTCAATCAAAACCAGAGAGTTTCACACATGCTAGGCAAGTGCTCTACCACTATTACACCTTGAGCGAGCTCATGGAAAAATTTTAAGTTTTTTAAACCTATACTTTGATCTAGGAGAAAAATATTAGCCAAATAAAGAATAAACTTTGTTTCTTTTTTAGTATTTATTTTTTTAGTTTTAGGTGGACACAGTATCTTTATTTTTATGTGGTGCTGACGATCAAACCCAGTGCCTCATGCATGCTGTTGAGGGCTCTACCACTGAGCCACAACCCAACCCCTGTTTGTTTGTTTGTTTTATTTAAGTGTATAAAGCTGTGGTTGTTTTGTTTGTTGGTTGGTTGGTGAATAAACCTAGGGCTTCACACATAATAAGTACATACTCTACCACCAAGCTACACTCCCAACTCCAACCCCAAGCTATGGCTTTTCATGCAACTGAAATTCAACAAAATATCAAAATAAAAATGATTGAGCATGTCTGAGAGTTTTCATGATTTTTGAGGTTTCTTTCTTTTTACTTTTTTTTTCTTTTGGTGGGGGGGGGAGCCTTATTTGGAATTAAACCCATTAAGCCACACAATCCTTTGTATTTTTTATTTTGGGACAGGATCTTATTAAGTTGCCTAGGCTGCCCTCACTTGCAGTCCTCCTGCCTCAGTCTTGAGAATTGCTGGGATTGCAGGCCTGTACCACTGCACCCAGCTAGGCTATTAATGTTTTGATGACCGGTAAAATAAAGATGTACACAATTCATAAATTATAATATAGTACATTTATTCCATAAAATTTCCATTTCATGTCTTCATTTCAGCAAAATGTTTACATTATCATTAAGATATCACATCATTTGTGTTCCACAGATAGTAAGGCCAAGTTAGACAATCTTTTGTACATCATTACTTTCTTAAATAGTTTTCTTCTTTTTTTTTAACTTTTTTAAGTTATTGATGGACCATTATTTTATTTATTCATTTATATATGGTGCTGAGAATCAAACCCAGTTCCTCACACATGCTAGGCAAGCACTCTACCATTGAGTCACAACCCCATCCCTTAAATAAACTTATTTAATTTCAGTTTGGAGAAATTTTGTTCCACTGAAACAAGAGAAATTGGAATTTTAAATAAAATCCTTAAAGCCTTAAAGCTATACTTACATTTGGAAATGAACCATGATTTTTATATATTATATTTAAACAATGTGATAAGAATCATGGATAAATTATTTTTTCACAGAAAATATTACTAGAGATATTAATGCTACTATGTACAAATCACTGGCATTTTTATTACAGTTTGCATAGTCTCTTGTATAACATTATTAGTAAGAGCAGTAGTACTACATCTGTACAGGTTTTGGTAAATTCTTCCAATATTTCAGTGCTAGAATATGATAAAGAAAAACAGAATAGCAATATGTTACTCTGTTTGTTCAAATGTCTTTTTAATGGGCCTTCATGCACTGATTTATTAGGATCAGAAAATAATCTCAAGCAATGCAAGGTGGTACAGGCCTACACTCCCAGCTACTCTAGAGGCTGAAGCAGGAGGATCACTTGAAATGAGGAGTTAGTTTTTGTTTTGGTACTAGGAATTTAACCCAGGAGCTGTTAACCATTGGGCTACTTCCTCAGCCCTTTTTATTTTTTATTTTGAAACAGAGTTTCAACTTAGGGATCTAAATTGCTTAGAGCCTCACTAAGTTGCTGATGCTAGCTTTGAACTTGCAATCCTCCTGCCTTCACCTCCCCAGCCTCTGGGATTACAGTGTGTCCTCACATCCAGCTGAACCCAGGAGTTTGAGGTCAACCTGGGGTACATAATGAGACTGTGTCCCCTAAAAAGTTTTTTTTTTAACTATAGAAATTCATTTTAGATTTATTTGTATTTTCTTCTCTACAGTCACACAAACTTATTTCCTTGTTCTAAATTTTCTGGTATTTAATTAGAATGTCACTTTCACTGAACATTTCTTTCATAGTTTCATTCAATTTAGAAAAAAAAAATTTCTCTAGCTGGTCACAGTAGCACAGACCTGTAATCCCAGCAACCTAGGAGGCTGAGGCAGGAGGATCTCAAGTTTGAGGCCAGCCTCAGAATTTAGCAAGACCCTCAGAAATTTAGCAAGACTCTGCCTCAAAAAATAAAAAAAGTGGGTCTGGGATTGTAGCTCAGTTGTAGAATGCTTGACTTGCAAGTGTGTAGCACTGGGTTCAATCCTCAGTACCACATAAAAAATAAATAAATAAAGATTGTTGTCCATCTACAACTAGAAAAATAAACACAATAAAATAAAAAATAAAAAGGACTGGGTTACAGCTCAGTGGTAAAGCACCCCTGGGTTTAATCCCTAGTATTAAAAATATTTTTTCTCTAAAGTTTTAATCTTTATACATTTTAGATTCTTTCAAGTTTTAAGGCTTCTATTAACCTTCTTAACAGGAAGCAACACTACACACCAAATAACTAGGAAGTACCAACTCAAAATTCATTTTTCTGTCAGACTGATTTGCTCTTCATATAAGCACCTTTGTTGTCTTGATTTATTCATCTGAAGCATTTCATATCTGGTCTCAATAAAATCTATCTGTTTCAATATGATGAATTAGAATGTCAAATTAGACTATGAAGACAAGCAAGAAAATGGATACTTAGCTATTCTTAGACATAATGCTTCATGATTCAAGAATCGTTTGCATTCATATTATCAGAAAGAAAGAATTTAATAAGTTAATTTAGTTTTACTTCTCTTATGTTAAAAAAAAAAATACCATTACTCAAGTCCTACACTCTGAAGCAATGTCCATTTCAAATGTCAACAGCATCAGAAATCAAAAATCTTCACGATCCTCGAGCACAATTGCCTTTTGTCTGGGGGGCACAGTACAGAAAATGTGGAGCAGCATTTCCCTGGGGCCTAGAAGGTATTGATGACCAGGTCAGAAGCTTATTACATCTGGTCAGAGTGAGTGTCAAGTCCTAAGTGACAGAGGTGCCTGAAGCCAAGTGCGTTTTTGTTTATTTTGTAGCCATGTGTTCTTTAATAAGCTTACTTTTTCTGTGTGTTTGTTTCTGTGCAAGGCTTTATAAAGTACAGAGTCAGAGCAAGGTTTCCTCTTGCCTGAGTCAAAGGAAGGTACTTCTGATGAACTTCACTCCTGCTAAAGACAACAGGGCCTGAAATGTCTGCACTGCCCCCTGCTGGATGGCTCTACGTGACTTTCATGGTCTTCCACTGATTCTGGACTCAGACTTGATGGGGAGGGGTGGGGGAGAGTGAATGGAACAGGGAAAAGGAGCTTCTGGATTTCTGTATGTTAAAAATAGTGCCTGCAATCCCAGCAGCTTGGGAGCCTGAGTCAGGAGCATCGCAGTTCAAAACCAGCCTCAGCAACTTAGCAAGGCCCTAAACAACTCAGGGAGACCCTGTCTCTAAAAATATATAAAAAAGGGCTGGGGATGTGGCTCTATCTCCCAGACCAAGAAAAAAAAAAAAAAGTATAGGCTGGGAAAATAACTCAGTGGTAGAGCCATGGTCTGGTATGTGCCAAGCATTTATTACATTTTTCTCATTTAGCCTTAAAAAACACTGTAATAGGATCATTATTGCCACTTTATTTTAGATGAAGAAGTGGATGCCGCAGCCTATAACAATGGAATGTGGATGCCATCATTGCTGTAATTTTTGGATCTGAGCCTGCCTTTTGTGCTAAAAGAAAGACCTGTTACTCTGAAAATTTCATAAGTGTGTATGTTTAACTTTGGAAGATCCTCCATGATCAATTTTGGTTGATGAAATATGAACATTCTTTGGCTTGATTAACTACAATTCATTTTGTTTATAAATAAAGGTGAGGGGCTGGGGTCATAGCTCAGCGGTGGAGCACTTTCCTCGCCCATGTGAGGCACTGGGTTCAATCCCTAGCCCCCCACAAAAAATAAAGATATTTAAAAAAATAAAGGTGAAATTGTTGGGCACGGTGGCACATGTCTGTAATTCCAGCCTGGGAGAAACAAGAATGAATAATGGCAAACTCCATAAATTCTTTGGAGAAGCCACTTGTTTAATTGCACTAGTAATATCTGTCTCCCTCTTCAGTTACTTGGACGTATAGAGAAAATCTAAGATGTGCACCTGCAGGCTCACCAAATACTTTGAGAAAAACAACATAAATTATTGATTCTCCTCTTAGTACATTATAATAAAGCCAACTTCTTCAAGAAAATATTGCAAACATAAACGTGTAATTATATTTGTTACAAACAACCTCAGAGTGATGGTCATAATACTCTGAGTCATTCCCACATTTCTGTGTGGAGTCAGCGTCTTGAAGAGTCTGTGCTTAAAGGAGTCATCTGAATGGCATTCAGTATTTGAATCATGGTTATCAGATGAATGTTTGAGTGTTTGAATACACAGAATGACTCCAGGAACTCTAATGAAGGAGACAAGTACAAAAATATTCTTGGTATGGAGCAAACAGCACCAAACATCTTAGAGTCACATTTTGATGTCTCTTTCTCCCGTTCCACATCTGTATCCTGGTAGCTATACTTAAAAAAATCACACACACACACACACACACACAYACACACACATGTTTGAGGTCAGCAGTCTGGACAATTCAGCAAGATTCTGTCTCAAAATTTAAAAAAGGTTAGGGTTAGAGCTCAGTGGTAGAATGCTTGCCAAGACTGCTTGAGGCCCTAGGTTAAATCCCCAGCACCTCAAAAATAAAATAAAAGTCAGATCATGCCACACCTATGCTGAAAACCCTCATGCTGGAATCCCTCATCATAGCTTACAAAACCTTATGTGCTTTGGCCTCCAGCATGTTTCTCTGTCTTCATCTCCTCTCATTCATCCCTCCCTCATTCTGCTTCAGCATGGGGTCTCCAAGGACAGAATCATCGCACTAACTGTTCCCTCTGTTCTGACTTCCTTTTTTTAATATTTAATTTTTAGTTGTAGTTGGACACAATACCTTTATTTTATGTACTTATTTTTATGTGGTGCTGAGGATTGAACCCAGGGCCTTGCATGTGCTAGGTGAGCACTTCTACTGAGCCACAAACCCAGCCCCCTGCTCTGACTTCTTGACTACCAGATATTCATTGGTGTGCTGCCTTACCTCTTTCAGGTCTCTCTTCAATTATCCCCTTTTCATAAAGGCCTGCCCTAACCACTGCATCTAAGATAGAACACCCCTCACTGTCTATTCCCTATATTCTGTGTTTTCTCCATAATATCTATTACCACTTAGCAAATATACATTCTCTTGTTAATTTGTTTCTGGTCTGCCTGCCTTCCCAGACACAAACACTCTGTGAAGACAGAAAGAGGACATCATCTGTTGCAATCAATCACTGGTGTATTTCCAGCATGCAAACCAGAATTTGGTATGAAATACATTTAATGAATAAATGAAATGTCTATAATAGTTTGGCAAGCACACTATGATCTCTGAGCATTTTTCCTAGTTATTCCATTTGCCAGTTGGTCTGTCTTAATCTACTCCAAAATAGGTTTTTGTTTGTTTGTTTTTTGTTTTTTAAGAGACCAAGTCTAACTGTACTTCCCAGGCAGGCCCCCAATTTCTGGCTCAAGCAGTCCTCCTACCTCAGCCACTTGAGTAGCTGGGACTGTATACTTTACAGAGGCTTTTCAAATAAAAGTAAAATAATAAATAAAATAAATAATAAAACTCATTTATTTTGCTCATGAATCTGCAATTAGGCAGGACTCAGTTTGGAAGGATTGTCTCTGCTCCATTCAGCATCAGTCAAAACAGCTCAATGGGGTCCTTGAGATCCCACATTCAAGATGGTTCATTTGGGCTGGAGATGTGGCTCAGCGGTAGCGCGCTCGCCTGGCATGCGTGCGGCCCGGGTTCGATCCCCAGCACCACATACCAACAAAGATGTTGTGTCCGCCGAGAACTGAAAAATAAATATTAAAAAAAAATTAAAAAAAAAAAAGATGGTTCATTCACAGGGCTGGAATGTAGGCTAGGAGTTTGGTTCTCCTCCACATGGGCCTCTTTTCATGACTTCTTGGGCTTCCTCACAGAATGTGGCTAGGATTCAAGACTGAGTGTTCTAAGAGAACAAATTAGAAGTGTAGGGCACAAAGTGACTTCACCATATTCTATTGGTCAAGACAGAAAGGCATACCCAAGAGAGGGGGAGACAGATTTTACCTTCTAATGGGAGAAGTAGAATTGCACTCAAAGGGCATGAGGAATGGGATATAGTGTTGTAAGCGTCTTTGAAAAAATACAGTCTGCTGTGCTAATTAAATCAGTCACTGATAAAATATAATTGTAGCCACAAATACATCAGTCTGTATGGAATCATTATGTAACAGCTTGGGTTCCTATTAAACACTTATACTTAAAGCTGGGCATGGTGGCACACTTGCAGTCTCAGCTACTTGAGAGGCTGAGGCAGAAGGATCACTTGAACCTGAAGTTCAAGGCCAGCCTGGGCTACATAGCAAGAGTCCATATGAAAAAGAGAGAGAAAGGAAAGAAGGGAGGGAGAGAAAGAATGTTATACTTAGAGGGTCTCAGAGAAAAAAATCCAACCAGATGTGTTGCTGCACAGCCAGGCCTGTAATCCCAGAAACTTGGGAAGCTGAGGCAAGAGGATCCTAAATTGTAGGCCAGCCTGGGCAGCTTAGTGAGACCCTGTTTCCAAAAAAAATAAAAAATAAAAAAGTGGTTGAAGGTGAGGCTTAATGGTAAATCTCTCCTGGGTTCAATCCCCAGTAATAACCTCCCCCCTTAAAAAAAAAAAAAAAAGAAAGAAAGAAAGAAAGAGAGAGAGAGAAATCCAACTTTTCCCTGAACTTTACTTCTGGTACTCCTCTTGTGGTTTTTTTTCACTTTCTATAATCTCTTCTTCCAAAAGGAACTTCCAACCAAGACTGAATGCTTGTCTTTTTCTTTCCTATATTTCTTTCTAATATATTCTTTCCTATATATTGTTACACAAATATATTATTTAAAAAATTGAAAATAACAATAAAATATCAACAAGTGAATTCTTGCCTGGGTTGTTCTCCAACTCCTGAGCTCAAGGGATCCTCTGCCTCAGCTCCTCAGCATATGCCACTCTGACTGGCTAAAAATTCTAATTTTTAACTGACTTCTTTTTCAACTATCCCTTCTTCTGAGATAAACCTCGGCTAAAATTCTGGCCTTTGTGAATACTACTAGAGTAACCTTTGTGATTTACAATTGCTTATCTATTTACAATTTACAATCTTTGTTAATTTTCCTATTAGTTTGATGTTTCCTTTCTCTGTAGATTTGTAAGTGTTCTTTGTGTATTAAGAGCAGTAAGAGTGCCACCATGCCCTGTTTTCCCCTGGGTCATTTCTCTCTTTTAATTTTAATTGAGGTATTTTTTGATAAATAGAAGTTCACCTTCGATTTGTTGGCTCTTTCCTGTAGTGCCACTCTTCACCAGAAGGGGGAGTGCGGTCAGAAGACTGCCTGAGGTGAAGCCTATTTCCAGAGGCAGAAGGAAAATAGGGAAATAAACAAATGACAAGCTCTTCTCCATTCAGTGTGCCTGAAGAAGGGTGCAGCTACTGGCCACTGGTCTGAAAATTGGGAAGGGGAGGAGCGTATAGATGTAGCTTTGGGAGAAGCTTGACAAAATTGCTCTATTTCCAATAATGCAGCGGGAGGAGCTAAGGAGAGAAGAAAGTCAGAGGCAGAGGAAGCAGAGGAAGTATGTGTGCCTTGGGGGGTGGGGGTGGGGGTTGCGTTAGGGGCATGCCTCAGGAGCAGAAGGTAATTAATGACAGAGTCCATAGGTTTCGGTGTGGCTTTACAATTCCAAGTGTTGGTATCTTTTTTTTTTTAATATTTTGTTTTTTAGTTGTAGTTGGACACAATACCTTTATTTATTTATTTTTATGTGGTGCTGAGGACTGAACCCAGCACCCACACATGCTAGGCAAGCGCTCTACCTTTGAGCTACAACCTCAGCCTCCAGGTGTTGTTATCTTAAAACCAGGAAGTAAGCCCAGAATTTCTTTTGATTTCACACAGGTCACATTCAGGTATACATCTGAATTTGGCCAAAAAATGTAGAACACACTATATAGATACCACAGTGTTTTGTGTTTTTGTTTTTGAGATGAGGTCTCACTATGTTGTTCAGACTGGTCTCAAGTTCTCAAACTTTGGGCTCCAGTGATCCTTCTACCTCAGCTTCCCAAGTAGCTGGCTACATGCCTGGCTTTTATTTTTTTTTAAAGATTTTTTTTTTTTTTAGTTGTTGATAGACCTTTATTTTATTTACTTATATGCGGTGCTGAGAATCTAACCCAAGGCCTCACACATGCCAGGCAAGTGCTCTACAGCTGAGCCACAGCCCCTGGCTGGTTTTTTTGGTATATTATCTTTTATAATACACAGATGGATACTCTCCTTTGTGGAATTGACTATACATCCCTCTTCTTCTCCCCCCACACACTGTCTCTTAATTTTGGCCCCTTTCTTTAACTCTCCTGCCAGTCAATTCTAGAGTAGCTGCGGGTTTGAAACTGACAAGCCAAGAAAGATTACAGACCACATTTTATGGGGGTTTTACCACCGGGGAGAGTGTTTTAGTCTTCACAGTTTTCATTAGCACTCCAATCACTGAAATAGACAATTGATATTTTCTCAATTTCTGTAAAGTGCTATGTATATTATGTA